CATTATCATGTGCACGATTTCGGAAAATACCTCGACTACATGAGGCAGTTTCAGTTCCGCAGCTTTCTGTTATTCTTAAGCATTGAAAAATCTGCTCAAACCGTACGTTTTCGGGGGGGGAAACTCGACTAGACGGTCTCAGCGCCGCCACTTTCGATACAGCGGTCGCTGCATGTTAATCGAGCCGTGCAAATCGGTGCCGGAATTAGGCGTGGTATCTTGTGCGAGCTGCCAGCATGGCGGACAGCTTTTCTGTTGCATGGCGACACCGGTCGGCAGAAATTCCCTGAGGATAATAGCACCAGTGCATATACCGTCGTTGTGAACTTAGTCAACAAAGGGGGACCCTGAGGAATCCTGCTCAATACGCGTTGCATTCGAGGTGACCTACGCATCTTCAGTCCGACACCGAAGGAAGGAGGTTGACTTGGCTTGTAGCCCGAACCGTAACGAGTGTGTGTGCCGCCTCCTCTCGCGATGTCCGGTGGAAGAACCCCCCCTCTTGGACGCAGGCAAAAACAATCAATACGATTTTTTCTGTACAAAAACAGTCGAAACTGACACTGTCGGGGGAACACAGTATCAATCCTACAGGGGGTAACGTGCATGAATACACACTCGCCTCTATCGGCACCAGCTTGTCGAAGTGCCTCCCGTCGTTGACGCGAGATGCCCACCCCTGCCCCTCCACTATCTGCGCCGCGTCCACGATAGGCACCCCAAGACGTGACATCACCGGCCGGGCTCGCCTGATTTTTGTCGGCGCACAAGATGTCGTGTGGGGTTGAGTGTAATGCCAAGCGGGCTAGCTCGAAGAATAGGGGGGTCTTCAAGCGGGAGTGAACGGTGGTCGCGCAGCAAAGGCTACTTGCTGACTTGTAGGTACGGGTCTAGCTCGAGAATTGGAAGGAAAAACTCTTCATGCGCTGCGCAGTAACCGCGAAAGAGAAAAAGTCATCACCATCGCGACAATAGAGCACAAAGAGGAACCGAAGGAGAGAAAATACGGTCTCAATACCCGGGTATCCTCGAAGCCGCGTACAAACCCGGACAGGTACTCAACGGGGGCATTCAGTCTTGCCGGGACCACGGTTTACCCTCAAACCGAGCCGGAGACGCACGAAGGGAAGGCATTCGTTTGGGACAGGGATTAGGATGTTTTATCCAACGTAATGCTAGGAGGCACATGACGTTGGCTGTTTTCCAATGGTCAGTGCGGTCGAAGTCAACCCCTAAACGGCACTTGCGCTGCTGAACCACCGTCGTTGTCACCCTACCGGCTCATCTGCAGGGAGCCCCGTCAATCCAAGATGGCCTCCTCGCAGTAGGTGTCCACGGTAAACAGCCCCTGTCCCTCAGGGTGGGTAATTACTCGGCGATGTCGGGTGTTCCGTGCCAATCGGGGTAGCAAAAGTCGCCAGGATTTCCGACGGATGCGCCCCTGACTTGGACGTTGTCCTGCGCGAAAAAACAAAAAAAAAGGGGGGGGGGGGGGGG